GCCCCCCCCCCCCCCCCCCCCCGCGCTACGACAAGACACTACCGCGACTGATAACATTTATTACGAGACCTGGTCTTCTATTCTCGCCTTCCACGCCTGTGTATTTTTGCGGCGAACAAAGCGAAGAAAGGTATTCTCAGTCTGATGACGAAAGTATGGCAGCCGATCGACGAACGCATCAACGGTGTCACATCGCGTCTTCTCGTCCGACTCCTTATACTTTAAATTTTTCATTCTTATATTTTTTTATTATCGTATTTAAAGTGTTATACTATACTGATGTATGATACACTATAACTACTTCTGGTGCTGTATGGCTGCTTTTATCATAATAATATTTACTCTCTAAAGTACAATCAATGTATTCTTCACTGAAATGCTATACTAATAACTGATGGTTCAGTTAGAAGTATAGCGATTGCTATAATTAGTAAAATCTCGCTGAAGAAAATCAATCAATAATAACGACTATTCCCATTATATTCCCTTTACGGACAGACAATATCATTGCATGCAAAACGCCTGGAAGCAATTCTATCGTCAAAAACGCAGAAAATTGGAGTTGATACAGCGTATAACGAATTTATGTTACAAATCTTTCAGTGAAATCTTACGTCCACTAGTCAAAATTAGTGAAAAATAAAACGGGACAATAAAGTAGGAGCATTTTCACTGAAAATTAGTAAATATTCACTGATTATGAGTGAAATAGCTTTTTATTAATTCAATCAAAAACATTTTTATTAATTCACTTTAAGAGAACGCATATTGTTATTAGCGCTATCAATAAACCAGGTAATTTTTATATTCGAGTATCTTTAAGATAATCGACACATTGTGTAATACATGTACGAACACTGAAACAATTTCCAGTTTTAGGTATTCGAATTCCTGAAATAAAAACAAAAGACGTGGGTAATATTCAGGTACAAAATTCATCTATCATTTGTAATCGATTTTTGTAGCAGCTGTTTTCGTATTAGATGATATTTATTTTCTGAAGGAAAAATAAATATCATGTGTGCTAATAATAGTACTCTAATGAGACAGAGTAAATAAAGTTAGCTATACACAAGTACTTTTCCTACATTTTTATCTATATACTGCTATACTATTACTCATTATATACTATCTATATGCCCTTGAATTATGACTCTACCTTTAGAAATACTTACAATACTCTATCAAGATAACAATTTTGGAAATACTTAAAATACTCTGTCAAGATAACTGTTTCTACTAAAATATTTCATAAAAATAAATATCTCTAAGATAATTATTTAAATACCACAATATCTAAATATAGGTCACTAATTTAGAGAATACTCTGTACAGTTAAGAAGAAGTGTAATTGGTTATATAGTAAAGTAGTAATATAGTCAGTATAAATACTTTTAATTATATAATCTATAATTTTATCAATAAAAGATAAAGATATACTCTTCGAAGTTATGTATCACTGAATCATGCCATAATTATACGTAGGAATTAATTAAATTCATATGATGCAAGCAATTTGGGCTGAACAACTACTCTGTGCATGCATTTATAAGTGCAAAAAGAGATCATGTATCCGTTCTGGAATTCTGAAAATCTCGCAATCACGCTCCGGTACTCTCCTCCACCTTCGCTATTGTCTTTGGAGGTATCAATGAACCGAATGCATTGGGCTGACCGTCGACAGAAGGTGATGAAGTCAGAAAGGCGGCCGGGGGAGCGGTGGTGACAGCGGCGGCGACAGCGGCGGTGGTGCGATAATCCGCGCGGCAAACGCACCCACACCTCATAGTCGTCGTTGTCTTCGTGAGACAGAGAGAGGAACAGAGTGGGAAAGAGAGAAGTCGAGCAGCTAGGCTCTTTTCACCTGTTGCACGAAGCGCGCGTATCCGTTTTTGGCCGCCATGTCGGCAGCGATGGCCAATCGCGACCGTTTGTTGATGGTGGGAGCTGTAACGTCGCATCCGATTTGCTCGCCACCCTGTTCCACGTTTCTCGGGAGCAGAGTCGCACTGGCAGAATCCCCGTCCCACGGGTTCGCCCCAGTTGCACGGTGTTACGTGGAGTTCCTGAGGGATCCGGCGCTCCTGTCAGTGCGCCAAAAGGAGTCGCGTCCGTCAGAAGCAAGCCTCCGCCTGGTACGCGTCACGGGGGCGCGGAATTCCTCAGAAGGACAGCCAAAGAAGAATTGTACTGTGATAATTGAAAGACCGAAGACAACCTCACGATTGGAAGAGTCACGTCTTTCTGAAACTGTCGTGGAATTCCTCAATGGCGAAATATTGAAAAATCACAAACACTTTCGTGCGGGAGAATCCTGTGATTTTAGCTGACGATCACGTAACTTTTTCAAGAACAAGTCCGATGATTAAACGGCTTGAGACCTCACTCTGAGACGATTGATAATTGCACAAGATATTCGTATTTTCCATATTTTTGGGAGCTTCACTTTGGAAAATGCTCCACTTTTGTGAGCTGCGAGATATTTTACGAAATGGAAATATCTTAAGGACGTTATCGTCGGTCGTGAGAGTGACTTTTGACTTGTCCTTAGTAAATAGAAATATCAACTTTCTGAGAAAAAGTTTTAAATCTTAGGTAGTATTGAGTTTCTCAGACAACTTGTAAGAACCTTGAGAAAATCTCAAATTACTAATAACCTAAAAAAATGTCACTATCGTTAACGTTATCTTGGCAGAGTGATTTATTCGGGTGTGAACCAAACGAAGATTGAACGTGAATCGATTAGAGAGATTAAAGGTAAAAATAATCGAATTGATCTCGATCAATTCCAGTTGATCTCTGTTTATTTCCACAATATACTATGTAGGACATGATTAGAATCTGTTAGCGGTTTGTTGAATAAATTTCTTAAAACAACCTATTTTAGGCCCTAGTGTGCCTAAAAACCTGGCCCTAGTGTGCGTAAAATATCGACCACGGTGTAACCGGATCCCTAGTAAAGAAAAGGCCTGAAAAGTATTATCAGTGGAAACTCCTTTGATTTGCGGTGTAAAATTACAGAAAAATCTTCGTTGATAATCGAAGTATATATGTGAGATTGCCTAACGACCTCAATCTGTGAGAAATGCCGTAAGTTAACGAGGGAAAGGAGTAGATCGAGTAGTTAAATTGGAGAGGAAGAGAACGACTCATGGAGATGTCATCCAAGACTTTACATAACGAGCACATCAAGCGGCCGATGAACGCCTTCATGGTGTGGTCGCGTGGTCAACGTCGCAAAATGGCCCAAGAAAACCCCAAGATGCACAATTCTGAGATTTCGAAGAGGCTCGGCGCCGAGTGGAAACTGCTGAGCGAAAGCGAAAAGCGACCATTTATTGACGAGGCGAAGAGATTGAGGTGAGCCCGTGAATTATGTTACATTATTATTATTTCTTTCATTACTTATTCTTTATTCATTTTGCACGATCTATAGCTCTAAACTTTAGCGATCAAAATACTTTCGCACAGCCTTTTTTGTTCTTATTCTTCGGAATCTCAAGCCAGGTGAAAAGAGCGCACTTTATTTTCTCTTAAATTAACGTTATTATATAAGAGACAAAAGAGAATAAAATATTTTAATAAATCGTATAAAATATTTTTGATAGGTCAACAAATATCGCCTTACTAGCAATTCTATCCGTGTCAGAAAACGATCATATAAAACACATCTGTGTGTGGTGCATACGTGTGAGTTTACCGAGTGACTTGCGACTATTCTCACGTCAGTATTATAATTAATATCGCGCTATTATGTTATTGCTATTAGATTCAAGCCTATTCTCCCCGACAGCACGCACGCGAATACAAAATGGGAAGAATATGGTAATAATTCGCAACGTCCTTATGGATCGACAAGCGATTCTTTCCTCCCTGGCGGCACTAATTGCTCTTTAGTCGGGAACACTCCAGCGAAATGATTGCGTTGGTCGGGGGGCTCCGCATCGGCGGTACCGTAGGGATCAAAAACGACGGGGAAGAGTCCCGCGCGATCATCTCGTACTTCATAATACGGTACATTGTTGCCGGGAAGCTTAGGGGCGTGCTGCGCTAAGCTCCGAGAGCTTGAATTAGAGCGAGACGGGGCCGGTATTTATAGAGCGGGGGGTAGATCGGCTCTTTATTACCGACCCTGAATACTTAATTACTGTTATAAGTTTATTTAGCCCGACGCGAGCGAGACCCGCGCCGATTTTTCGATCTCCGGCGTGCCTCTCTTAAACAGGCCCCCTTGAGAGAGAGAGAGAGAGAGAGAGAGAGAGAGAGAGAGAGAGAGAGAGAGAGGAGGCCCGCGTAATCTCGCGAAAGTCTTCCTCTAGGGTCCTCGTAACGTCCTGCAATTTTGTAAGCCTCATTTGAGTAACATCTCGCGGTCCCGCAAGCGCAATCTCGCCCCGAGGTAGACGCGAACTAATTTTGCGATTATAATCAGCGCGCGTAATGATCGTTTCATTAAAACTTTAAGAAATATCTCGCTGTTGCGCGATGTACGATACGCAGCTACGGACCTCTGATCTACTTTTTAGGATAGAAATATCCTTAGTAACGCGTCGTGGATTTTGCGAGAAATCAAACTTGCCTCACATTTTTTTTATTTACAAATAATGTAACATATGTGTTGCAGCATCCGCGAGACGCGCATCAGAGACTTTTACTAATCTTTTCCAACTAGTAGAGATCAATTTATATGATTCAATGATCTGTCATAATCATATTTTAATCGTGAATGTTATCGTTGAAAGAAACATTATTTCGTGTACTCGTCTCCCTAATTTCGCTGGATCCAATAGTTTCACTTAATCTAAGAAATCTCAGTTAATCGATAATTTACTTTTCTTTTACTTAATCCAGTAGATGTTTCTCAGTTGTGCAAACAAACGAACGTTCGTCGAACGGGTGTTGTTGTCTCCAGAGAGGTTAACGGTGATCAATATTCCAAATAAAACTCGGGCTTGTGAGGGAAGAGGAAAGGAATGGGTTTGCACGCGAGAGGTGCGTGCAGATTAAATTTGAGAACGATCCCCGCTCTCTCGCTCTTCGATCTCGTCTCGGGGAACAAGATTTAAACTGATTCCACGCTCTAACCTCATGCCCGCGTTGCAAAATATCCCGACCTCGATTTACATTCTACCCTGCAGGGAGGAGAAAAAAGTAGGAAATAGAAGTAAAAGGGACGAGCGGATGTTCCGCGATGCTGCTGAAATTTCCGGCGAGAGTGCAAATGCGGCGGTCATATATTGTCTTAACCCGTTTGCAAATAAATTTCCATCGCGATTATAATACGGGGGACGATGTAATAGCCTCAATCGATGCGATCGCGCCGGTGAATGATAATTAATTACAATGACGCCTTGTGTGTAACACAAATTAATTATCTCGTCTCAATTAATTTCCAGCCAGACAATCAAGAGAAGCTTGAATTTTATTTTCCGAAATGTAAAGAGGAATCCCGCCGAATTTCAGTGGGCGCATTCAGTCCACTTATTCCCCTTATTATTCTTTCGCAACTTTCTGATATTTTTTATCTTTAATGCGCAAACACAAATGTTATTTCCTATGTGTTATTTTATATACTCGGCGTTAAAATATCTTGGTTATTAAATCTTCTATCTCCGTCCACCTCTCGCCTCGCGTTAACGATACAAAAGCGCAAACAAAGGGCCATATTTTTCCATCGAAAATTTCGCGAAAAGAAAGAAAATGAGAAGAACCGGCAACGAGCCGCGGTAGGGAAGAGAGGGAGGGGGCGATGTGGGCAATCCGAGGGAAATTTCGACGCGGACGTGTAACGGCGAATCCGCTTTTCTGGCGGATGGCAGCGACGTCGACGACGAGGAGGATGGCGGCCGTAAAATAAAAGGGGGGAAACTGTAAGGGGGTGTAGAGGGGGGGATAAAGTCGTTCCCTTGGAGCGACGTCGAGCGGTAGGAGCGGGCTCTCTCGGTGCCGCGCCGTCACTGGCCCGACGTAATCTGTCCGTTCGTTCACGGCGACTCACAATGTGGCCCCCGAGATAACAAATAAAGCCCCATTGTCGCAATTGTGTGGATTTAAAAGGATTTGCCCGGCTCCTCTGCACCCCCGCCGCCGCCGCCGCCGCCACCACCGCCGGCATCCACACTCTACGACTCCTCTCTCTCTCTCTTTTTCTCTCTTCAGTTCACCTTCTCTATCTCTCTTCTATCGCTCCCTCCCCTCCCTCCTACATGCCGTTTTAACCCTCTGCGTGTTCCGCAGCCTCTTCACGATTTCTCGCTTCTCTCGTCGCTGTGCGAACGAGCTTTTCGCCGCTTTGATGTTGCATATGAACTTTCTTCAGTATCGGAGGGTGGAAGTGGAAAGGGGGAGAAGGCAAAAGAGTTAATAATATCACGTTGTTTCGGCCAATTGGGTAGTTCTTGCGTCCGCTGCAATTGTGTCAATTGGTGCAACGGTGAAATTTGGCGCGGATTCGGAAATTGAGAGTCGAAATCAAGATCATTGAGGAGTAACAAATTATTTTGTAAGAAGAATCTAGAATGACAAGATTTCCCGTTTCGTCTCATTTGAAACTCGCGAGAAACGCGCTGTTTGATATACAAACGTCATCAGCTATGCAGAAGGCAACGCTCAACGACATCACCGACCAACCTACGCGAAATGAACCTACGCGAAATGAACTTTCGTAATGAAACACGATTAAAAGCGTCGCGGCCTCCGCCCCCGCCAATAATGCGACCGCGCGCACTCGATTACGCCGACGTCGCGCAACCACAATCGTAACTAATTGTTATTGTTCCTTGTCGCGCTGCGAGCTTATGTCGCGAGCGGGGGCGAAGGGAGGGGGATGATATAGCGCGTTGTTTATCGGTCGCCGGGGGCCAGGGGGGGTTGCGGAACAGGCGAAGAGGGGGGCAAACGAGGGATGCGCGGAGGTTGGAATTGTAAAGATTACGGCCGATGTTTATGCATTTATGCTGAGTTATTGTCGGCGCGGCTTTACCGATGTTTATGCTGATTTACGCTTTGTGCTATCTGCCGGGACACATTGTCCCCGGAATTATTATTCCGCGGTCGCGGCGGCGTCCCGCCACCCACGTCTCCTCTCGCTTCTCCACCCCCGCGCTATTTTCCGCCAACGTACCCCCTGAAATCTCGAATTTCGTGCGCGCTCTGGAAAATTCTACGCCCACGCTTCCCCCGCGGGCTGGATAATCAACGCAGAGCTGCAGGAATTCTCGTGTCGCTTCGCGATCTTATTAGCGATCCTGTCGGAATAATTAAAACCTCGCGTGACAAAAAGTTGCTAGTTTTTCTAAGCAACGTGTTTCTCATCAGTGCGTGGCGTCCATTTCAAATGGCACGTATACTGTTTTATTTGTTTTTCACTTATGCCGACAGCGATGGCTCACACAGCCGTTGTCACGAAATCGATAGTGATTACTGCGGCAATAAGGGGAACTTCGCTTTCGCGAAATGTGTATTATTGCGTTGTACGAAGTACAGCAACGCGTTATCGCGCGGCCGTCCCTCTGACTGCATTGTCCTGGTGGTTTCCGGCAAGATTCTTCGCGACACCCGGTCGTTACGAAAAAGCGCGGTGCCCACCTATCTCGCACCCTTCCCTCGCGGCTTCTCTTCTTTTTTCTTCTTTTTTTATCTCCACGAGGTGAGGCATAAATAAGCACTGCGTTTGTGCGCCTCTTGGGTACATAATGGAGTATTATGTGTCGGAGATACCGCTGCTCTGCTCCACCGTTCTCTCCAGCCTTCTCCGGCTTGAGCAACGTGCGAAGGGGGAAATGTGTACAAGATACTTACTGCAAATATCCATGGTGCCCTGTATCGTGTTCTAGGACGGCGATAATACGTCCCATTGTACGTGGCGAGAGCACAGTTTAAAAATTGCCGAGAAAAACATGTTTAAGTCGGCGATAATCGATAACCGTGGAAAGGTAAACTTGATAAAACAGACGGGTCTCGTATTTTTGTGGGTCAACATGGATGTATGACGTGTCACTGACGATCAGTTCCCTTCTTTCGGCATATCTAGCGCTTGTACGTAATTTTTCAGCTCAGATTGAAGAAAGAAAACTTATATTCTAATAGAGCTAATGTCGATCAGTCAGGATAAAAAATTAGCACCTAAGAAATTCACTATGAAAATGTGTGCAATATTTCATCGATATTTTCAGAGTGTTATTTTAAAATCGCGAATTTTTATTGACATTTAGATTTTATATATAATTGATGACAAACACGAGTTGATAGTAAAAGGCTTATTTCCGGATTCTTAACATCTGGGGATTACATTGTAGACCCATCAGCTAAACTACAGCGTTCCCCGTCACGAAACTATTCAATTAAACCGTCCTCAATACGCGCGAGAAACCCCTCGCGACTCTCTCTTCCCTTTTACGCCACCGACGTATAACGATGTCGAGTTCAGCGGCGTATTTACGGTAACGACGAGCCTCGACGAATCCGCGTCGCGCCAGAAAATTGGGTAAGATGAAGTTAAAAAGAAGTATCGTTGCGAAGGACAAAACGCTCTCTTCTTTATATTGAGATATGATGACACAATCTCCCTGTATAATTTTTGTTATTTCAATAACTCTTACTTCTTTATTCTCCAAGAAGATTGTGATTGAACTCAAAGCATGTTCCTCGAGTTCTACTTATTTGTTGACATTGTTTCATTTCTTCAATAGCTATTGCGAAAATTGCAAAATTGTTTCCTGTTCCGTTTGATGCGCTCTTGAATCTTGTCGTGTGTTAATTTTGTCAGATATCTTGACCATATGCTATTTAATCATATATTTAATCATATATATAATATATTTTTATTTGAATGCTAAATATATTAAATCTATAGTAAGTAGATGATGACAACGATAATATAAATCCTCATTTGCGAATCCTCATTTGATTGAATCGCGGTATATTGTCACTAATTTGGGAATTACTGTCAATCTCTCCAGAGCTCTTCACATGAAGGAACATCCAGACTACAAGTATCGGCCACGGCGAAAGCCAAAGTCGTTGGTGAAGAAAGAGAACAAATTTGCGTTCTCGATATCGCCGTTACTATCGTCCAGCGACACCCTGGCGAACCTACCGCGTGGTCTTCTGCCACCGCTGCCACCCACGCACCATCCGCTCATGTCGCGTGAGGACCTGAAGATCCCTCATTTCTTGCCGGCGTTCCCCTACTCGCTCTACCCGTTGCAGCACAAGTTGAGCGAAGACTTCAACGGCAGCAGCAAGCTAGCTGCTGACTTGGCTTTCCAAGCCTTCTACACTAGCGGGTCCTTTTATCCGAGCCATCATATGCCGTGGACGCCGAGTCTGTCGCCGGCCTCCTGTCTACAGCCCAACTGCGACTGTCCAAGCCTATCTAAGGAGCCTAAAAGGCCGTTTCCGCCGTCCAAGATAGACGATAGACCCTTTCCCAGCCCGGCTCGAGCCGACGACAATGCCGTCGTCGCGGAACGCGAAGAATCCCGGTACCGGAAACTCGAGGAGGATTTCCCTATCGTTTTGGACAGACACCATCATCATCATCAAGAAGACCGTTCCCAGGACCGCTTCTCCTCCTCGTCGTCTTCCTCCCCGCCTACGGAGCCGGAGAAGTCGTCGACAGCGACGACGTCCTCGTCTTCCACTTCGACGTCGAGCAGCAACAGTAACAGGGTCGACAGCTCCTTCTCCGTTCAGAGTCTCACGTCGTCTGGCGGCTCGAACTCAAGCTCGCAGCGCGGGCACGTCATATGAAGGCCGCTTCCGGTTCTCCCGGACCTAAACTTCCGGGGGAGCCTGGTGCCGACAACGTGGCCGGCCGCCGACTGGTGGAGAGTGGCTCCGATGCTCTCACCGATCCCCCAAGCAACGGTGACGAACCTCAGCACCGGTGTCGTCAAAGAGGACGTCGCTCACTTCCCAGACGAACAGCAGAGAACCTCAACGGCCGTGTCCAGGTCGCCGAGGAGCAGCATACACATCGCCAACCTGCAGTGATGCAAACGCGATGATCCACGAAAGTTAAACGCCGTTTCCTATTCTTACTGACGAGGCAAGTGAGTCGCAATATTGTGGACTGGGCTCTCGGAAGAATCCTGCCGCACGACGTGCGATTCTTCATCGATGAAGAGATCGGGAGCGTTGTTTCTTCGTAGCATGGACGACATCCACCGAGCTGATCCGCGACTAGTGAAAATAATGTGTACAGATGACGCGCTCGGCCGGAAAACGATGTCGATCGGGAAACACACCGGACCGAGAAATAATTTCGCGAGCTGACAGAACTCAGCGGCGAACAGCAACAGCAGCAGCAGGAATCGATAACCCGCCGCAGCAGCCCGAAATCCTACAAAAGGCGGCGCAAAGGGTCCCTCTCGGCTCGGATCGTGTACGCGAAACTGGATGCTAGAGGACTCCAATTTTGATGAGATAACCAACCCTCTCATGCCACACATATTACGGGGCGGACGGCCGCGGATGCGCCGCCGTGCGGAGGGGGTGGACACACCGGGCTGGGGAAGGAGAGGAAAAAAAGCTTTTCTGGCGGAGGCAAATCTCTTCTTTGGGACGCGGCCGTGCGAAATAAGCCAAACGTTCTGAATGCTAACGTAGAGACGCGCACCCTCCCCCGAGCGACGACAGTTTCGTTGTATTTCGTGGCGCAGCGCCGGCTTTCGCGACGGAACCGACGACGAAAGCATCGATATGGCGAAATGGAAGACCCGCGGCTGACTGGCTGGCTGGTTGGCATTGGCAAGCGAAATGCACCTTTTTCGATGTTACACAGAAAAGCCAAATAGACGTTTCCAAAGGTTGTCTCAAATGTATATTTCATCCTATCTTGCTGGAGATTAGTTTCATCAACGATGATTAGGATCCAGTATCCTAGACACGATTGAGCTGCTTTATCCCGTGGAACGTTGTTTCACAAGTTATAATCCATTTGCACATCGATATTCCGACGAGTTTCACAGTTTGATTTGTGTTAAAGTTAAATCGTGGCGATAGATGCACGCACGGTGTGTCTTAGCGCGATCTTGTTTTGTTACATCCAACGATTATGGTTAATTATTATTGAGGCAAAGTAACAATATTATCAACTCGCGCTCGTTCGTTGGGAGAAATCTGCTGACTTCTCCTTCTTGTAGAAATTCCCGCTAAAGTAGCGAGCACTGACGCGAGCTCATTAGAGTGTACCGTAACGGGAATAAAACACATGTAAACGTAAAACATATCTAACGAATAGAAACATATCCCCTTCTTTCTCCTCTTTTTT